ATACATGACAGCATATAATATTATGTGAAATGTAGAAACTACTAGCATTCGATACCTAACGCCTTTGAAGTAAAACTTGTATCATAGTGATTGTGCACACTAATTGGTCACTGGAGGGTAACCAACGTCATGTCTAATCGTGATGCTGATCAAAATCTATAGAACATTTTGCAATGTGGCCACCAGGTTACGCAGTTCAACATCACGATGCACTCTGATAGATGTTAGTTGGATGGGGGAAATCCGTAAAACACCCTGGACCAAGGTTTCGTACTCGTTGGCACTCGTCAGCAAGTCGTATTTGCAACCTCAGCGGGACTGACGTCCCGCCTAGGATTCGAATCCAAATCACCCAGTGCTGTAGTCAGCGACGTTGCCACTGAGTTATTCGGGTGGCGACTGATCTCCTAAAGGAGTGGATTAGGCCCATTGATTAGTCACTGGAGGGTAACCAACTTCATATTGTCTAGTCCTAGAGCTTACGAGGGCCAACAAGTACGAAACCTTGGTCCAGCGTTTCCTGCCGATTGCCTCCGTTCAACTAACACAGTGATTTTGTAACGAAATAGATAGTTTACACGAGGGTGTCAAATCAGTGTTCAACTTCATCACATGAAATAATAGGCAAATCGAGCAGTATGGATGAACAACTGTTTCCTTACTATGCAATGATAGTTAGAACATAAATACATTTATTGAAGCCTTATATTGTTCAAATAATGACAGGAAATAAAATCATATGCAGCTGATTCAAGATCCCCTTATAGTCATGTTTTCAGGCCTTAGTCGATATGATTTATTATCCGCAAAACTGCAAGATCTAAATCCACTTTTCGCAGTTATTCATTCTGCGAATAGAATTCTCCCATACATTAATAGTATAGCTATCTTGCACCATTCCACATGGTCTTGCAGTATTTTATTTATTTATTTTGCTTGGGACCATTACTTTTAAGCTAGCAAACTTCAGTGAGTTAACTGTCAGAGTGAGTTGTACAATATAGTGATACAAAAATAATACAGTAAAATAATTCTGCTCCACTCCTATAGACTGTTCTTATTTCTCCGCGTGAATATAATCCCAATTTTGATAATATCTGTGAAACTAATAAAACTTGATTACAGATAATGGTAAAATTCATACTACTATTTATGCATACAGTAATGCACGAAAGTATGAAAGATTCAGGGCAGTAATTAGAGCCCAGATATTTAGGCCATAGTTTCTGAAATATCACCAGTTTTTTAAAGATTTAAGATATCACTTCTGATCAAAATCAACATATAAAAAGTAAATTTAAAACTTTGAATATACAAAGTAAAATGCCTGATTACGTAATATCATACTATTTCCCTCGTTTTCCATCTTGCTAACTTCCCTAGCACTAATTCATGTAATGAGACAACGATTGTTCCTCCTCAACGTTTTATAATTCTTTTCTACATGAGTTTGCTTGAAGCTTAAAAAGCTTTGTGACAAAGGCTGTCAAGTTTAAAACTACTGTTGCAGTACTTTTCCCACTAAAATCTTAAATGTATTTTGCTGTAAATCTCCAAAAAGTGCAAAATTAAGGATGATACGTACATATAACCCGTGCTACCCATACGACCATAGGTAAGTTTTGATGTAGATCTTTATTAGCCGTTTACCTTGCTGACTCACACTCTTCACTCTTTATAGATTACACTATGAGCAACAGGTTGGCATAGTGCTTACGTTGAAAACATATAAGCTCACAAAACGCTTGTCAGGCTAGATTGTATTGCCTTTGGTAACAACGTTTAGTCAAATTAATACCGGAAACAATAAAATACAATCGACGACTACTGAATTATCTTATTTGTACGATACTTCACAAAGCTATGTGCTCAGCCAATCTGGTTAGGCATGGATGTTTCTTGCATACATGATTTCATGTAAAGAAAAAGGCTAAGTAGTTTTGTCCTTCTTTCAGTTTTCAGTTTTATTATTTCCTATAGGAACTTTCAAGTCTTTAGGGTCAATGTTCATTCGTTTCTAACATAAGTAAACTTCATACGTCGCTTACAGTAGCATCTTCTGGTTGCAAGCCATTTTTTATTATTATTTGCCCATTGGGTTCCTAGTGAAACATAGGGCTTCAGCAGCACGCCTCTATTTCACTCTCTTCTCTGCGGTCCCTTTAACCTAACTCCACGAACGCCTGCCTGCCCAGAAGCTTTCATTTCTCCCTCACATGGTCTCCGCAATGTCATCCTCGCCTCCGACGCCCAACTCGTCGTTTCCCCTTTGGATTCCACTCAACAGCCTGGCCTGGTCTGACACGTAATGTCTCCGAATGGTCTTCTCAGTGTATGTCCAATCCAATTCACATACACCTTCTTCCGCATATCTATTGGGCGATAGCTTCTTGGTTGGTTCGTTGCCAGCCAGCCACAGTTCCTTCTTGCTTATTCCTTCTGGCCATCTGATCTTCAGCAACCAGCGTAGGCAGCTGTTGATGAATGTCTACACTTTCTTGGAAGTGCTTCTCGTGACGTGGCAAGTCTCTCAACCATCACATAGAAGCACCGACTTCATTGATATTAGTGTTGAAAATCTGGATCTTGTTTTTTATGCTGAGTGCAGTCGATCTTCACACTGATTTCAGGTTAATGAAGGCGTTTTTCTTTTCCGACCCTGGTTTTGAGGTCCTCATCCATGTAAGCCATAGACAGCCTTTTTATTTTCTCATTAGCTAATGAGCTTTTAAGAATAGCAGTTTACCTCCTTAAGAAAACTATAACGATAATATTTTCATGGTGATTTCAGTGACAGTTTTATACAGTGTGACGTGGATATTGAGAATTTAAATTAAAGATTAGTGTCTCATGACCGAAATTATTCTAAGCAGTTAAGTTTTTCCAGCACCTAATGTTATCACTAAGTTCACTAGTTTGTGGTCCTACAGGATGAAATGTAATAAAACTGGAACTCGCGTAAACCAATAGGTTAGTAGTCTATAAGACTGCCTGCTAACCTATGACAACGTAGTATAGCAGTGCACTGTATTGAGCTTTGTGACTAAAAAACAATCGTATAACGATTAGGTTGCTCATCTCCCATTGTAATCAAGTTACAGTTCTCTAAACATCCACCGAAATTCCCTTGCTATGTAGAGAACTTTGTTCACATCCATCAAAAGGGGGTGATCACATTCGGTATTCGACCCTCATTGATCTTCCGTAGAAAAAAGTATTGACCAGGTAGAAACATGTGTAGTTTAATTTCACAACCCGCAAAGGATAATGGAAATTTAGAGCACATTTTACCACATACTGAGATAAGGAAGTAATCACTCTGAAATAAAATTCGTTGTGTAGCATCAGTTTATGATTGTGAGACTTTACTTACGTAACTCAGTCCGGTATACATATCTTCAATGTTCCATAATATTATAAATAGCTTTATTCCTCCCTTATACCTATGAAAAGTTGCATATAATCTATCAGTAAAATATTCACAAGGGTTATTCAACTAAGTTTCCATAACCAATATGAGCCGAATAAGAGTGACGAAAAATTGTATACCTTCGATTAAGAAGTGCCACTATTTAGCTTCGTCTGTATTTGAAGAGTATAGATAAAACGAACTCAACAGACCAGTCAAGAAACACAAATCTATCGATTAAACGAAAATCTGGAGCCATCCACCTCTCTAAACAGCTTGTAGTGGACTTTTTGGCGTCAAAATGCAACTACAGACAAAATAAATAGATTGCGTTAACTAAATATTAACTTCTAGCTTCTTTCTGGATGCTCAAGGTGTTTTAAGTTTTGTTTTACGAGTATGCATCCGAGCAGGCTTCGGCGCCGTTTTGCGCTCCCTTCGCGCTGGTTAACATGCCCGTCCTCAGAGTACCTAGCTCAGCCATATCAGACAGATAAGTTGTATAAAAATTTTCTTTTATGATCAATCTCACATTTATTCCAATTTAGCATATCTTTCTTTTGAGCTTATTCCTGAAACAGCCCTTCCAATTTGTATTTCGTTTTCAGTACTTAAACGGGTAAGGTGCCGATTAAACAGGTATTAGAGCATACCGAGTTAAGTAGGGTTGGTTAAGCGTTACGTAATAGTAACATCCAGTCCTTCTACAAGCTTACAAAGCCTTAAATATAATACACACAAATGCAAACAGTCCAGCTATTTCCTAAATGCAAGAATGAAATGAGTAGGAACTTCTTAAATCGTATCCCACTACACATAAGATGCTCCTAAACCAGAATTTACTAAACTATTTTCTACATAATTAGCTGTCATCATTGAAATGAGTGACTGGTTACTGCACCCACTTCTATGTTAACCTAACCTACCTCACTTTTCCTTTTTTAATTTGGTTATGTTAAGTTCTGTCACAACGTTATGAGGATTTGCATTTTGGGTGGAGAAATTATAAAGTTGCACTTCAACCCTAATTCCAAGCAATGACAAGTTTCAGAATGCCTTGCACTTCATGAAACCTCTAAGACTACGTAACGGACCAAAAGAAGCCTTTAGATTCACGCGCGCTAACGTTATGTGAAAACATTTGAATAAACATCATATTCAAATTCTGATTTAGCTGTCACAAGAACATTGGTTATGCAAAAGCTATTACAGAATGTTCTTAGCTAAACAGAAGTGAAAAAATCTGTGGAGGATGTTAAGTTATGCAGTTTACATCGACCACTTTTATAACAACTAAATATCTGACGAGAATGATTTCCAGGAAAATGGAGTCAAGTCCCGCTGGAGAATGGAAAGCATTATTGTTATAACCGCTAGGTCTTAAGTAAGCATCTGTGAACTAGTCACCTTGCAATTAATGGAAGAGTAATATTACCATCTTAATTTCATATACTATAAGGAAATGAAATATATTTTCTGCCAATAAAACTTTTGAACGAAGTGCATAATCCATAAACATAATAAAATCAACATTAAGTATGAAAATTTGACAACATAGCTAACTAAAGCAAATTGGGTCAGATGAACTCACTCTCACTGCGTTTGAATTAGAGCTATAGTCAACCTTCTGACAAATAATAGAGAAGTTCTCACTAAACGCGACTGCTACACATTCGTAGACAATATACGCATTTATAGCGACCATGAAACAGTCGTAAATGAACACCAATTGTTTCGCATCAAAAGGCTTTCGGCCTTTCATGTACTTTAATCCATAATGCACCATCAACATGTAGGCAACCACTACAACTATTATGCCATTGACTGAGCCCATAAGGAACAATGAAGATACTCTAGGGTCTATACAATCACCAATGTTTCTCATATACTCACCTGCTCTATCCATGCTTCGTGAAAATAAATCATTGAAAGACTCAAAATATGCTCCTCCCTCAGTCATGCTCATCAGATTTGGTGACAAGTGGTGCCTTACAAAAAACAGTGCCTTGACAAAATTTCATGGAAGTGACACAGTAAAACAAAAAAGCAATTACAGCAGGTAACCAAACACTTTACATTTTTCACCACATGCACATTTCATTATTCAAAGAAGAGTCATGAATAAGATAGCTGAATTTCTGTGGTTGAACTCCATCATCAATTCTAAACGTCTGGAGAACCTATCCTTTCTAATCATTCATGTCTTGATCTTCGTGCGTGGTTCTTTTCTCCCGACCGCTTGACAGTGACTGAATAAGTCCCTTCTCTTGAACTGGTTCAGGTTTTTTCTAGTGAGTTTTCCATTGTAAATCACTATCGGCTTCGAACTAGGCAACTTGGTAAACTGCTGGTTGCTGCAGCACTGATAGGTCTTCTTGAAACCACAGTCTGTAAAGCTACCTGATGACGAATAGTATCAACTAGCTGAAGAAATTTTTGGTACAGGCTTTGGGAGAACATTAGAGGTAGGTAGAATTAGTGCGACTGAAGCGAAGAGTTGGAACAGTCATAAGTAAACAGGTAAAGTGGTATTTAGTGAAAAGACAATTGTGGGGTGTCGGGGATCCACATACAGTTTGTTGTTTGATATCGACGAGATAGTTTAATAATAAGGTCAGTTGAGCCCTGACTACTTCTCTGTTAGATCCACGAACTGACACGGTTTTCAAACCTTCGCACGGATTCAGCTGGGTGTATTTAACTACACCCCCATGTTCGGGCGTTACGTAGGGTCCATACTCTTGGAAAGAAGTTGAACGTGATCTTTGTGTTGTCTGTGTGACATTTTTGCGTAATTAACTCACTATGATTGTCATTTTACTCGCATTGTGCCCTTATTCGCTTGGTGAATTACTTTATTACACTTTGCAAGTTCTCTCTTCTTTCTGCAGTATCTCAGCCTGAATGAAGTGAGTTAACCGAGTCATGAAGATTTTCAACAACAGTTTTTATGAGGCCCATGCATATCTTCTCAGAGGGACTGAAGTTCCTTCTGAAAAGGGAGGATGCTGTATAGTTGAGAACCTCTAGATGCTGCCTGACATACTTTTTTACAACTGTTAGGAAACGTTTTAGTGTGAGAGTACTTTGTCGCTTGTGGGGGAAATGTATAATATCGTTTGCCGTGAATGGCATCCCTCCATAATCAGAAGTGATGTTGAGAACCTTAGCGAAGTTTTGGGTTGATTCAACTCAATCGACATACTGATGATGGTATGAATGCTTATATTGTAGTAGTTGTCCTTTTCGGATTTCATCGCTTCGTGGGTTCAAAGATACATGGCTCAGTACCTTGGTTTGCGTCGGCCAAAGAGAGCATTTTGAACTAGGGTATCATGTGTGACACTATCTAACTCTTTTTTCTCACCACTGAGTATAGCATTGTTTGTTCTTCTATTGTACAAGCTGACAGTCTTTTCGTTCAAAGTGACCATGAATTTAGCAGCGCTTGAGCACCTTCTCTGGGCACTGAGTTTGGTAACAGGTAGAAAGTATTTCATGTCTCTGAAACTCCAAATCTCATCACCTAGTGAGTTTTCGAGTACTCTGGAAACTTTGAGGTGAAGGTGCTCAGTCTATATGTGTAGATGCAGGCTCATATATTTCGAATTTCGTCCATGGGTTTCAAGCTTTGTTCGGGCCTATAAGCTTAATGCTAGGCCACCTTGTTGTGAATGATTGCTGCGAATGATAACACTTGACAGATATTCACTTGGGTTACATGAGTACGTGGAAACTTACGAATTCTCGACGTCGTCAGCGTAGGTTCTTCTGGTGCCCGAAGCTATAAGCATAAGAATTTATGGTGAAATAGATGTTTATTTAGCGTAACGAGGCATCGCAAAGACGAACCGAACAAATCGACAGCTCGTAACAGAAATTCGGAAGTTCGGGCGACCTTGGTGCCACTAATGGTGAAAAAAGAAAGTATGACTGAAAACGATCCAAACTTTAGCACTCTCTATGCGCCGGAAAGTTGTATTTTCTTGTTCATTTCATGACTTGTGTGATCTTCTTGCGTTTTTAATCAGATTTAATGACCTCCATTCCGTACCATTCAGGTACCGTAAAATCTTGTACATTTTCCAACACATATCGATGTGATGGCGCCTGTAAACTGGCTTCTCTCATGTGAACTTACTAATATGAGAATAAAATATTTATTTATTTATTTACCTATTTATTTACTTATGAATACCTACGCAGCCCACCGTAATATGGCCAAGGCCACAGTAATGTCCAGATCTGAAAGTTATATGATGCCACAGGTTCAGCAACGCTTTTGTTATTCACTTTTCAGATTTACTTAACCAGTCCTGCATTCAAATGGAATCCTACAAATCGCATTCGTCAGCGGGAAATATTGGCACCAAAACCTGATGACGAACGCGCACGTCCCAAGGTCATGACTGTGATGCGGCCTCACCTTCAAGAATATTGGATGATTCAAACGATGACCGGATAATCTTCAAATTCGAACTGAGCCTGCTTCAACATGCCTCCTATATGCCATAAATCACAGCATCTAATGTATAGCATAACATTGTATATAATAGTCATCTCTCATTACCAAAGTGATCAAACCTGTAAACTGGTTTGTATTCATGTAACCTTTGTTGCATGAAATATATTATTATTATTATAATTGTGTACGGTTTGTAAGGATCTTGCCGGTCTATTGAAGGCTTGCCATAGGTAAAACTGGTTTTCTGGAGAACGGTTTCAACAAATTTACTGGTTGTTAGCGTCGCTCCTAAAGGCATCACACGTCATTGGGGCAGTGTAACCCAAGCTACCCTATAACGGAAAATTGATCTGAAAATCCCTCCCGATCACCCTGTTTGATTATATTGACATTTATTTTAATATTTTTACCCTCGTTGGATGGTGTGCATTTGACCCTAGCAGGTGTAATTTTATTTGGTTGTTTGATTGTCTTCTTTGACCTTTTAGGCAGTATTCGCCTTTGTATGATTGAGACTTATCATGAATGTTTCACTTTCCTATTATGTGACGCTGGACTGTCGGCAAGGTGGTGTTGTTTTACTGCGCCCGACATTTTATTTTGGTCCAACTTACAGATGTACTGTGATTTCACCTTTGTCTTTTGACTGCCTACTGGAAACGTTTATTTGTTGATTTGTTTCTGGTAGACAGAGTTTTGATCCCTTTCGTCGGGAATATTCTTATTGACTATCAGGTACTTAACAGTTGTATTTGTTGAACCAGTTTTTACCATATTGTACGTATTTGCGCCCGAGAAAGTTTTAGACCGTATGGTTACTCAACGGCACTGTTGACGTATTTTTGTAATTTTGATATAACTTATTGTTGCTTTGATAGTAACACAGATTTTGTTACGAATCTACTGCTGAATTACTACAAACCGTGTCTTGATATTTTGCTCCAACCTTTGACTGTGCGTCACTCACGGAAGTTCGGAAGCCATACAATAGAGCTCAGAAACTAGTCAGATTCACGTCAATTGGCACCGCCTAGTTATTTTCCGCTTCCAGACCAAGATTATTGGATTCTGGCCACTACATGCCCTGAGCCATAAGACTTTGTTTGACAGGTGGTGTAGGCGTGTTGGGCCAGAACTGGCCTGTCCACGCTGTACATAACCGATTGACGCGACTGCTTATCGGATTAATAATCATGCTTGCTTGCACAAACAAGTGTTGTGAATGGTCCACCGGGGTGAAGGAACCTCTGTGGTTACACCAAAAGATGAGACTGTATATCAACCTGGTTTCAAAAAGCCAAGATGTTTGTTCTGTTCTCCCCTGAAAACCAACGTATATACATCCGTTCAAGCGGTGGATATGTATCATGCTGCGAACAAACTGGTTGATTCTGCCAGTAGTCATATGCTTCTCTCGGAGATTAAGCCATGCATGCCCAAGTACATAACTTAAAAAGGTGAAACCACGAATAGCTCATAAAATCAGCTATGGTTCCTTAGATCGTAAGCACCACATGGATAGCCGTAAAAATTTTAGCGCCAAGAGATGCCATTACGACCCTACCCGGAAGGGGACAAGTAGATTTATCAGAAGAGAACCAATCGTAGTTCCACCTTGGAACAAAAGTGAACAGTGATGATCTTCAAGCGACCAACACGACTGCAAATCACATGAAGAGTGAAGCTGAAGTTCATAAACTCAGCCCTCCACTGTTGGGTTTAAGTTGATTCCCGGGGGCGGTAAAAAGATCATTGAAATTCCATACAAACCACAGCTCCTAACTTCCACGGAACCATACCGGAATAAGGAGTAACTTGTGCAGAGTCTATTGGAAAATTCGGCAACACACCGTCTTCACATAAAACTCATCCGCGATAATTGAAACAAGGAGACGTATTTCGACTCTTCATGAGCACATTTAGCCCCACGTCTGGCCCTCGGTTTTCCAATTGGCCCAGTGTGTGGCCCAACACTTTCTACGATGGCCCTACAGCCAGCCCCATTACCCCAACGTTTAGCTCAAATAAAGTAGTGGTCCAGCGCTTAAACCCATGTACACTGCACCTGGTCCTACACCAGATTCATGACCCAACGCCGGACCTACTTGCTTGAACGAAAACTTTTACTGGGACTGAGTCAAAGGTAAAAGTGCTCATCATTCGAGAACGGCTGGAAGTGCCACGGGTTCAAATGAACGCTTATGAGATGGAAGTCTTTTAAGATTCGTGTTGAAGCTCGAAACACAAGTGTCAATCATCAGCCCACACACCTTTTATTAACGTGGAAAGCAAATTACACGCCGAGCAAGACTGCTAACAACTTACACGCGATTAAAATCCAATCGGTTTGAAGCGCCTACTGAAAATGGCAGAACTGGGAGAAATGGCTATGCAACAACTACTTTAGGCTATAGTGACGATCAACTATTGATAGATTCTCGTCCAGCCTACAGTTAGGAACGTTGTTGCAGGAAGGGGGTTGAGTTCAAGGGTGACCATGAGAAACTGGAAGGGAAAACAGGGGGAGGAAGACGTGGGCCGACAAATCACCGAATGCGTGG